GTTCCAAAGCTCGAAAAAAAGCCAATGTTAATGATTTTTTTACCCACAAACTGTTAAAGATATTAATATTTAATTTATTTAGCTCAACAAATACACTCTTGAATAACACTAAAGATATCTAAATTTATTTTTTAAATATTTTTTATATGAATAAACAACGGGTGAACGGAGCTCTGACAAAACGTTGGTATAAAGCTCACGTACATGATAACTTGATAACGGCTCATCTAAAACACTAAAACCAAAATTATTTACCTTCAATATATAAGTAGCTTTTGCATCAGCCAAGGAGATTAATATTTATTGATAAATAATAAATTGGTGGACATTTAGAAAAAACAAACTGAAAATTGAGGCTTCTTTTCACAGTTTTTAGTCCTAAAAAAATAGTAAAAATAAAAATTTTGATTTGGTTGGAGCTGATGCGATAGCTACTACTATGTAGAATACGTCGTTTAAATTTTATTAAGATCGGGTCAGTGGTTCCGAAGATATCATGTACCTAAATCAAAAAAACATACTTCTGAGATAAACAAGTTTAAAGTTTTTTTAATTAATAAAAAACAAAATCTTACCTAAAGTCAATCAACGAAAAAATAAACTGATATTTATAATTATTAGATATAAATTAGAGATAATTTGAATTCATGAAAATTAATATATGCAAAGCGAGCCGTTGTCACTCTATCAATTATATTTATTATTTATTGTCAACTTATTCCGTGTTGATACGCTATCAAAAAGGAAAAATCGCCCAATAATTTCCGCACAAAAAGATAATCTGTCTACTAAACAATAACAGTCTTATCAAAAGATTCCGACCTTCATAAAGCGTAATTACACGGGAGATAATTAATTATTGAAAAAATAACATAACTCAATGTAAAGTAATTTTTTTTCTTTTTATTTTAATAGTGTATAATGAATCAATTAATGTAAGAATAAAAATAATTACAAAAATTATATTATTATATATTTTTGATCTTTAATTTTCTCAAATCAAAATATTTATATTTAAAAAAAGCTAACAATAATTCATTTTATCAACAAATAAAAGTGATTCAACATACGTCTGATGCTGAAATAAGTAATTGCAAACAGTTCGTAAGAATTACGTAACTTTTAAGAACGTATGTATAATTATTAAATTTATATCCTCATAAAATATCTCAATAATAACTTTATAATTATTAGACATAAAACCGTCAGGTAGATACTCCATTGGTATTTGATAACCTTCAGTTCCGTAAACACCCTGAAAAATAATTTAAATATAAGAAATAAAATTTTATCAATAAATAAAACGTGCTGACTTTACGATTTGCCATTACAAATCGATAAAATTTTTTGAATTTTAATTCCTGTAACTCTTTACTAATAATTTACTTTCGCAATATGTTTAAGGAAGTTCGAGCGTAACTAATGAGCCAAAATAATATTAAAATTTTTTTTTAATTTTAGTCTTATTCCCAATATTCGTCAAAATTCTTTATTTCAATTTAAAATAATTTAAACAATTTAATAATTGATGATTTTTACTTATTTAATAAAGTAAAGTAATAAAATGACTTTGGTATTTATTACTTGCCGGAATAAATAAACAGATTTGGCAATAGCGCGGTTGATTGTACCCATAACCTGTAGACGTGAATGAGTGTGTGAGTTAAACATTTCTCTCTCTGTAACTATATTTCTATCCTTTTGTTTTTTCTCAGCTGTTGACGCGATGTTGTCAAATGTTTATTCGAATAAATGGCTGACGATAAACCAGTTACAAACATTAAATTTGACTTTAAATATTTCAACAAATTATATCGGTAATGTATTGTTATTAAATTGTTTTTATATTTTGCAATAATCCAACGTTTTGCGTGTATAGTTTTTTATCCGTTAAAGTTGGGAGGTTAATATTGACAAAAAATAATTAAAGTCTCGACAAAACGTTTGTCCGCCATAAGAGCCCGTGTATAAGGAGATAAAATATGTGATTTTTTAATTTTAATATCTAAGTAACTAAACGGTGAATCTTTTTTAAATTTTGGGATTAGATAAATTACGTATCTATTTATACGTATACTTAATTTCAAACAAAGTTGGAAATTATTTTTTACATTAGATTCGCTCGAACCTCCTTAAACGTATTGCAATGGGATTTATATTTTATTTTCAATGTATAACTTATAATATCTTACAACATCGGGTGGGCAATTATCTGCATTTAATCCTATTGCCTTAAAAAATGGGCCGACAATTACAGGATCTTCTAAAGAGTCACAAAAATCCATCGTTACATCGATTCCGATGTCTATTATATATTCCCCCATCGTTGCTGCCAGTATTGTGAATCTTTTCTAGAAATACACAGAAAGAAATATTTCTTGAGTGGAGAACGAAATTCTTGGTTTAAGAAAATTTGTCGGGTGCCTGAAGGAAGACCGAAGTTGTGTCGGCCGAAGTAAAAATTTTTATTTAAATTCTATTCTTGGTTAGTCATTTTTTCTTAATTCTATCGTAAATACTTGATACAATAAATTTTTATATTTGATCACAATTTTTAGATACTTTAGGGAAGCCACCTACTTCAGCTGAGAAAAAAATTTTCTCACCTTGAGAAAATTTTTCTTGAGAATATTTGATACCCTTTTTATATTAATTTACCGTGCAATTATACATATTGAATGAAAAAAAATGATGAAATATTATTTGATCTTCCCAATTGACATGTTAATCAATAAAAATATTAATGAAAATTAACTTCTATCTTTATATTTAATTTTTTGGAGCAAGAGAAATTTTCTCTTGACAAGAAAATTAACTTCTATCAAGAACTAAATTTTTTGGAGCTCGAGGCTGAATTTTCTCTTCACAACAAGATTTTCTTGTCTTAAATAAATTTTCGAGGATCAAGATACGTATTTCTTAAAGCAAGAGAATTAATTTTATTGGAATAAGTGAAATTTTTTGTGTGAAAAAAAAAATTTTTTTTTCGTAAAAAAAAATAATTAGAAAGAAAATTAATTACCTCAGTACCTATAGGGAACTGTTTTATTACTGAAATATTAGCAACTACTGCATTTGAATCGTCCACATAAAAATCAGGTTCTGTAAAATACTCTTTATTGTAAGTATAAACGACCACATCTTCTATGATTATCGCCCATGATCTCTGAAAAATTAAATACAAAATAATTATCTGTACTAAAAAATCATTTATTAATAATCTTGCATGATCAAAAGTATAATTTTAATTTATAAAATACCTCTGCTTTCAAAGATTGGAATATTGAAACCAACAGTACGGCGGATAAAATGGTATTCACAACAGTCGTCATCTCAAAAAAAAATAGTTGAAAGCTTGAAGCAGTAGGTTGATTAATATCCACTGCAACAAAGTATTCAAATAACGATAAAATAGTGTTGTACAACTAATTATATTCATAAGAGATGATTATGTAAGGCCGCAATGAATAAAAATTAAATCCGGTGTTTAACAATGTTACAATTATTTTCATGCATATAATGACAATAGATAATAAACAATTATCTTCCATCGGTAATTGTGTGGATCGTATAATACAAATTTTGACCTTCAGCACTGATAGAAGGATTTATTTATATTTAATAAGTATTATTAACTTAATAAATGATTTCTTAACATTATATATGGCGAGAAATTTATAGAAACCTTTTCAAAAATTATGGGAATGGTTCCTATAATATTATGGGAATGACGCACATAATAATAGAAAAATGTTTATGTTCATAATAATGAAGCAATCACGTCAAAAATATAAAGTAATTATTATATATTTTTTTGCTAATAAATTTTTTTTTGTAAATAAAAATTGATCTTTCACTAGAGTGAAAAAATTTCTTTTTCATAATTTTTATTCACGTGTGTACTTAATCTTAAATTGTTTATTCCAGCTCAGTTATTATTGTGTTAAATAATATTGAAAAATATTGTAGCAATTCTAAAGTTTCTCTAATAAAAGGGATATTTTCTCACTATACAATTAGAGGAGCAAAGCAGATATGGAAATTTATTGTTTATTTTTACTTTTCACAATTTCATTTTATTTTTAAAACAAATTATTTATTTACAATACACACCTTGAATATTTATTAAATCCACCTTTTGGGTATGTAACTTTTATTATTTATATGAACAATATAACTTATTTAACATATTTCAAATGATGTTATTGGGAAGCAAGTAAAATTATTGAAATTACTAATAATTTCAAATGCTTCAAAGTGGTCATCGAAGTCACAAATAACTTTAGTTGTAATGATAAATATCTCAATATTATTAGGCATCATCACTATAATATTATCGAAATGGTTCCCATGATATTATAGGAATGGTTCCTATAATATTATAGAAACTATTCCTATATATTATAGGAATCATGCCGATATTACAGTTATTATTATAGGTATCGTTCCTATAATTATAGGAACCATTCCCATAATTATAGTAACATTTTCCAAAAATTATGGGTACAATTTCCATAATTTAAATAATCCCTCCTAAAATGGTATAGGAAAACATTTTATTAAAATTATTGAAATGATTTCCATATTTTTCTCTCTGCGTAGTTACAGTAGTTTGATCATTTAAAAATTTTAACACAATACTTTTAGATACATGTACTGTAAATAATTTTAACAATAAGTAGCCGTAGTAAAAATAATCAATAAAGTTGAAGATAGTAGATTCAACTATTTTGTACAGAAGCTCTAGAATTAATTCCAATTAAGCAGTAATGGATTAGCAGTAGTATGAATGTACATAATACATTATTCATAAATCTCACGTCTTTTGTCTTACTCAATTCAGTTAATTGATTTACTTTATTTTCCTCAATAAACCTCTCGCCATTAACAGTAGTAATCCCCGGTAATCTTAGCCGTCGCCAATGTAGTCACCTGTTTTGTATGGATGACGTTTCTACATATGAGAGCAACAAAGCTGCTAAAGTGAGCGATAACGTTAAATTACGAGCTATTATTGAGATTGTATTCTCCAAAGAGCAACTATTATTCCAAATATCTTCATAAAATTTTATTATCTATTATCAAGTGAAAATAGAAACCTATTTACAAAAGATATGCCAAGATTTGTATAATAATCTTCTTTCCTATGCCTTTTGTATAAAAACATATTCAATATTTTTCTTTTATCGTGTTAAGCAAATAATTATTAGACTGAAAGGTTGTTACGGACGATGTCTCAGATAGCTTAACTGTCCGAGCCGTTGGTGCGTAACCAAAAGATCCGGGTTCGATTCCCGGTCCGGGCTGTCCGAATTATTTTTCTGTTTTCTGAGTTAAAGTTCATCAAGATTACTTTTCAGCGGATATTTAACTAAAAATAGTTTAAGTAACTATTGGGGTTCAATATAATAAATAATTTTAGGTATAAGAACTTCAATTAAATAGTGGTGATGCTATTTAACTAAATTTTCTTAGTTTAGAGAATTATATTTTTTTCTAAGTGAATCATCAATTTAATTTCAATTTTTAATGCTAAGAAATTTTATTGTTTGCTTTATTTAGACGAATTATAAGTTGCGAAATTTCAACGGGCGAGGATGTATTCAATTTCAAACATAAATTAATTACCACGGGTTACTTAAAACAAACATAAATTGAATTATAAGTTTATGAATACACTAGTGTGGTTATAGAAAAGGTAAATTATTTTATGTAACTTGAACTTTTGAAATTGTAATGCTGAAGTGCTATAGATAGTTGTTAAAAAGTTTTTATTATTGATACAAACATAAAATATTTTTCATCATATTCTTTAAATATTTTCTCTTGAATTTCCAATATTTCACAGTCATATGTATGATTTACAAAAAGTAGATAATTTTAAAACGCAATATCTGGTTTTGAATTCGACTGCGAGTGAATATAAAAATAAATTCTCATCTTACATACACCAACTGTTTTATAACTTTGAAGCGCATATATGAAATCCTGCCTGTGATAGTAAATAATCCAAAAAATTACTGACTCAGTGCTTGCAATCTATATTTCTCTATATTTATAAACAAATCTATACTTATAAACAAGTAAATACAATTTATTCGCGCATAAAATTTTTTTAACTCGACAAAAATACAAGGTATAATAAAAAAATTATTTAGAAGCGAATTTTATTGGAAGCTTAAAAAAAATTTTAATTAATATTTTTTATCACTATATTTTCATTATTGGTACTATTAATAAAATAAAAAATGCAATTTTTATTAAATAAAAAATTAATTCAGTCTATTCTAAAAAAATAAAACTCAAAAATCTATTATTGTGTCTTCTTTAGAAATCTATTTCCCAGAAAACTCCGAAAAGTTTTATGAAGAAGAATAAAATGACAGAAACTGGAAAAATCTATATATATGTCCGAGCCGATGAAAGAGCCTTAAATCTGATACTCTTCAATCCAAGGAAGGAAACTAAGAAGTGGAGCAAAAAAATAAAGGATCTTTCCGATAAAAAAAAAACTGCAATATGTAAGATGTCGTGGATCACAATTTAAAGTAAAGAATCGAAGACGTAGCAAGTACAAAAGAGGAATAGAGAGAGTTAATGAAGAGTATCAGTAAGATGTCAAGTAAGTTGTGCAGGAAAACGCAAGCACAGAAAATGGATAAAGGAAAGCCGAATGGAATAGTATAGAGCGAGGGTTGTTTCTCTCAATTAAATGTTACCAAGACACTCTATCTTCTTCGGTTCAATTACGCGTGCATTCTTCTTTGTCCCAGACTTTCTACTGCTACACTATTTTGTAGTGTTTCAATGTATACTTACTGAAGAGTAAGGCGGAAGCGGAGGCACACTTCTTAGACTACTTCATACTCGTTAAAGCTTGATAAATTTAACGAGAACTTGGTGCTATTGGTTTTCTTTGTTACGTTTATCCACTACTTTGTTGCGAATAATTTTTTTTTCTTCCGTGAACTCAATGTACGAGATCTAGTTTATTTGTTTGAAGGAAATATTATTTTTAACATTTTTTTTATGTGAATAAAATCAAACTTATAATTAACAATTATAAAAATTTTTAATTTTTTACTTCAAACTTTGTGGAATGCTATCAAATTATTTTTGTTGAGATAATTTTTTTTTTTACAGTAGATTGTTTCTATTGACTTGATGGCTCTTTCAAGATTCCGCAGAGTTTACTTAACCGATTCAGGTTGAATTTACAGAAAATCTAAACTAAGGGAAACTCTTGAATTCCGCAATCCCAATTCCGATCGGTCAATTCGGTTAAAAGTTAACACATTTGCATATATACACAGTCTTGTGGAAATAGTTTGGGTAAGTCTCTAGAGCTTTGAACTGTTAGCGCTGACAATTAATTTTAAGATGCATAACAAAAGTATTTCTACGTATTATTTTTTTGTAGACATTCTTTACACTAGAAGGGTACTTAGATGTCCTCAACTGGAAGACTCCTTAGTGCGCAACCAAAAGATCCGGGTTCGATTCCCGATTCGGGCTGTCCGAATTATTTTTTCTGTTTTCTGAGTTAAAGTTAATCAAGATGACTTTTCAGATATTTAACTAAAAATAGTTTAAGTAACTATCTATTGGGGTTCAATATAATAAATAATTTTAGGTATAAAAACTTCAATTAATTAAATAGTGGTGATACTATTTAACTAGTTCAGAGATCCATATTTTTCTTTCAGTATAATTAATAACCAATTTTCTATGAAAAAATAAAAAAAAAACCGAGAACGAATTGCATTTGTAGGTTTATTGCGCACAAGTTTTTCCGTGAGCCATTCACTTTATTGGTCCAGTAAATTCGTGTCATTTCATTGAATTTAGCTCGGGTGAAACAGTGTTAGCAGTAGTGGAGGTGAAGGTAGAGGCAGACGTGCGGAGTAAGTAGAGTAATAGTACACTGCGGGGAAAAGCTTCGGAGCTTTGGAGCTTTAGTGTGCTGTACAGAGAGTATATAGTATCATAGGCTATCATCAGTTGGGTATGGCTCTTACTCAAATGTCAGGTACTTGCGGTCGTGCCAACAAGCTGAGGGAATTCCAAATGCACAAAGGTGCTCATCGATACTTGCCAGGATTGGTTGACGAGCAAGTGCCCGTGGATGTATGTCCATCAGACTCTCTAGGTCGTGCTACCGAGCTACCTGTATTAAACCTAACACATCTTCACCTATATCCACGTCTGATAGGTTAATCCTTCATTTCGGACCTGTCACTCTCACGGCCTCAATTTCCGATGGGACGAATCCTTCACGGACTTGTACTTTTATTTTATGCCACAAAGTTATTTTAGGACCACCAATTTAATTTGTTCGTCTGTCATATATGTTGAGTCGTTAATTAATTTAAATCTATTGCCACTTTTTACTCAATATAACTATTTATCAATAGTTATCGGATTATCTAGTTAAATAGCATCACCACTATTTAATTGAAGTTCTGGTACCTAAAATTATTTATTATATTGAACCCCAATAGTTACTTAAACTATTTTTAGTTAAATATCGGCTCATAAGTCATCTTGATTAATTTTAACTCAGAAAACAGAAAAATAATTCGGACAGCCCGGACCGGGAATCGAACCCGGATCTTTTGGTTACGCACCAACGGCTCGGACAGTTAAGCTATCTGAGACATCGTCCGTAACAACCTTTCAGTCTAATAATTTTTTGTTTAACACGATAACAGAAAAATATTTATTAAAATATAGTCGATGTAACTATTTATCAATAGTTACTTAAACTAATGCATAGTTCGAGTAACCACAAAAAAAAAGTTTAGAAATATTTTTATACTTGTGACGTTATAATTCAGCTAACTATCCATCAGATAAAAGTTTACCCTCTTAAAATATTGATAGTCTCGATATTGTATTTATACAATAAAAATATTTTAAGATTCAAAAGAGAAAAAGTGACCGGAATGAAAATCAAGTGAATTGAAAGTAATATAATCCATTTGGATTCATCGATGTGGATGCCGCTTGTATCATGACAGGGGAATAAAAGGTTTTTTCGGCAGATAGATGGGTTAGAGGGTCTAGAAAAGTTGTGCTGAAAATGATGAGAGAGTAAAGCTTGAAGGATTCCTCAGACTCGACTTGTAACGACTCTAGAATTGGTTTCTGAGTTTCAGACGTGCTTTCGTGCTGGATAAAAGCACGGAGAGGATGACTTTTGTTATTTTATTTTAATAATTTTTCTTTTCTTTTAATTTTATTAAAAGAAAAAAAGGATGTAAGCCTAGTTTATTTAATCAACATTTGTCTTATTAATTATGAACTATAAAGCGCTTTTATAATTAAAAATTCAAGAAGTTTTATAAGATCGTTTGAGCAAGAGAAATCTAAGAAATGCGAAAAGTAGGGGGGAGTTATACTAGGGAGAAAAGTAGGACATTCCATTCCACGTGGTAAAATACTGAATTTAAATATCATACCTTTCCCTTTGGAAGGAGCGCACACATTTCTTTGCACCATGTGTGGCTTCAATAGTTTAAATTCTTGTCATTGTTGGCAGATCGTTCAACTTCTCCATTAAGCTTGTTTAGTGTCTCATTAAATGCTTAAGGGAGATAATTTTGAGCTGACTTATGATTTTATAGGTACAATTATATACGTTGAAAAAATTGTAATAATTAAAATTTCAAAAATAATTTAAAGAGAAAAAAAAAATTTTCTTTTACTAAAAGAGAAAATTAATTCAAAAACATTTCATCGCGAAAACGATTATATTAATTGTTAATTATAATTGTCGTTTATTTATTTTATAAATTCTGAGAAAATAATTTAAAAATTAATTTGAGTTAAGAGAAAAATTTTTGACCTAAGAAAATAATTGACTTGATATAATTTAAGAGGAAAGATTGTTAAATTAAATAAAATTTTTATTATATTTTCAATTGACTTCTTAAGAATTAATTAAAAAAGATCAAATTAAAATTTTCAATTTTATGTTTTAATATTGTGAAAATAAATATTTTTAATATAAATAACAGCTGCGCTTTATTTTTCGGAATTTATACTTTTCTCAGGATGTTATAACTGATGAAATATTTATCGCAGGAACAATAAATTTGATAGAGTAAATTTATTGTCGGTATAAAATCGAAATATTTTGTGTTAAAAAGCTTGGATTTATTATACTTTTAGCCCATAATGTTCAAGCACCAAAATTTAAAATCATTGACTGTGAATTAGAAATTTTTTTTTATTAAAAAAAAAAATTAACAAGTTAACATTCACATTTTTGACGTTACCTTGGCTACCATAAAAATGTATGTATGTAAATATTATTCTACCCATAAGGTAAGATATTGTCAGTACGTTGTGATATGACGAGTAGATGTTAATCCAATGGATCCTAGAGAATCGAGGAACCATGTTGTGGAATAACAAGCACAATGTTAAGCCTCTCATACCAAAACAACTTGACCCTGCCGGAATGTAGAGAGACACTTGTCTTGGATTGTGTCAGCTTTGGAATTCTGAGTTGCAGGTTGTCTTTAAATTAATCTAACACTTAAGAAAAATATAATTAATTTTTTTGTTCGGATCCTTGTTCAAGAGCTTAACTTTATTGATTCTAGACTTTAAATTTATGTTTAAGAATTTGTAGTACAGTCTAATGTCGGTAATTCAGTCGGGACCAGTGACGGCAAATAATGTTGATAAAAAAATTCAAAATTTTAAAATATGATAAATATGTAAACTCCACGGTCAATAATAAGGAAGTCAAAAAATGCTTTGCTTAGAATTATGAAGAAATAAATCCGAAACAATCTTTACAAAAATAAGTTAAGGATTAACTTGTTCTCAAGGACTAGACTATGTCAATAAATTAGCGCCGGAAAACAAAAAAGCTATAAAACGTGTTTTACTAAATCTTAACAGGGTTAATGTTAAATTTTAAGTAACTGGGTTTAGGAATATCAGTCATACTTAAAAGGTTTTAAGTTATGATTTGAGAAGTAAAATACTTGAATAAAGATCATAAATAATTTTGTTGTTTCAAGATCTTCAGGTATCGGTAACAATGGATTTTTCTAAAGCTATGTAATTATGATGTTAAAGTATCACATTGCAAAAAAAAAATTCAAATATGTTAATTGCAGGAATGCCTTAATGGGGATGTCCAATAGAAACATTTCTTTATTGGATAATATCAAAGCAATATCACAAAAAAGAAATGTCACTAAAGGCCAACCACCCGGTCGGCATTTAATTCCTTAAAATCAACCTTAAATTTATATACCCTCCACCATAATATTCAATGACTATAATTAAATCCTTAAACTAACATAAAATAATTAAATAAAAAATAACCTAAAAATAAAAATAATAAAGATGAAATTATATTAGATTAATTAAAACTAAAGCTTAAAAATAACCTGAAAAAAAACATGTTAATTAAATTATTTGTTACCCCTTCGTTTTTTTGGGGCTGGCTGGACCACGTCGATGACTTGGGCTTTCCTCTTGCCCGGGTTCATCTCCGTCGAGCGACTCTTCAAGCGCTCTAATACTCCTCTCAGGCTGTCCTCCGTCGGGGCCGGAATAGGAGCCGGTTCTTCTCGAGGCATCCTTCTTGAATTGGCCTGGGGCCTATTAATTTCAGTGTTCCCGAAGAACACACTTCTATTGACATTCCGAAATTTCGGAATGGCAATAGGGCGGCTTTCTCGGGGTAAAACACTGAAATTGTGCCTCTGAGCCGTCCGGTCTAGCCTCTGAGGTTGCTCGGGAATGTTTTCTTCTTCTGCTTGGTCTTCGGGCTCCTCCTGTTGAGGTTCTTCAGCCTGCTGAGGTACAAACAGCTCTCGAACGGGAAGAGGCTGATTGAACTTGGCATAATCCTCCGGGAAGTATTTCAAAATTAATTTTCCCGGAGTTGGCGGCTTTTTGGTTATATCAATTTCTTCCTCCATTGATATGATGGACCTCATTACTTCGTTATTGAACTCTTTGAGGTTGAAATTCTCCATTTTTTATAAAAAATTATAATTATTATTAAAAATATATTTAAAAAAATATCAATTAATTATTTATATGCACGTGGTTAGATTTAAGGTTAAAAGACACTTAAATTTTAATCCTTATGATTAATTTACAAAATTAAAAAAAATTTGATTCACAATTTATTTATAAAATTAATACAGCAAACACTTAAGCAAAATTAAAGTAGCGGTTAAAGGTAATAAAAATGTGGAGGTTTGAAAACAATTTTGGCAAAAATAACTTGATAGCAGACACGATGTTTTCTCTATGACTGAGTAACTAGTTATAACTATATCATACAGTCTATAGGCCTGCAGAGGTATACAACGCCGCCCCCGCCACGTCACAGACTATCCCTACCTTCTAAATTTACTATAGAAAGTTTCCACGCGACATCTTACAGCCTAAAAATTAACTTAAGTTTTTTTAATTTATTGCAATTTTCACACTAAAAAATAATTATTTTACACTATTTATAATTATTAACGACTTTATTTATATCTGATAAATAAATATAATCACATATATATATATATATATAATTAACCGTCCCGAAAATTATGATAAGTATACCACGTGACACAAAGTATAGAAGATATATGCTATTTATTATATTATAATCTATACGTTATAAGAAAAAAAGATATTTAAAAAAAAATGTATACGCTCTTATTGAAATTGAATACGAATTTTAAAACATTTAAAAAAAGAAAAAACAAAAGAGTCAAAAAATATTTTGCTTAAAATTGTGATGAAATAAATCCGAAACAATCTTTATAAAAATAAGTTAAATAAAAAAATCATATGATATTGTCGTTCCTCGTTATTTTCAATGAAGAAATTATAAATTAAACCAGAAATAAATTTATCGAGCTTTTTTATTTTTAACAATTAACATTAAGAACATATAGTACAGTCTTATGTCGGTAATTCATTCTGGACCAGTGACAACAAATGCCAATTGAATATATCGGTTTGTTTATTTGAAACACATGTAAAGTCCACTGAAGGAGGTTATCAGACTGACTGTAAATACTCTAAACACTGGTTAAAAAAATAAAACTAGATAATTTACTTTTGGCACTCTCTTAAGGCCTACATCAAAGTATAGTAAATGAAATTTTTTGTTGATAATTAGTTTTCTACCCTAACCTAGCTGGATTTTAATAATTCTGGCTTGTAAGTTAATCTAAACTAAAATAAAGAATAACCAACAAAATTAAATCAATCTCTCCGATTATATTGGTTGTACGTTTATTAGTAATTTCTTTATAGTAAAGTTTATTTAGTTGAATATGTGATGGGTCCTGATATAAGGCAGTTTTATAAGCGAACACTAACTATTTATTCATCAATTAGTTATTTTTTTTCAATGATTAAATGTAAAAATAGATTCAATTTACGAAGGACTATTATTAACGTACTCCTCACAAGTTTAATGATTTTTTATTTAATAATTACTTGATCAAGCGTCCCAGTTTGTTAAAAATTTAAATATTCAAATACATTTCCGATACAGCTAACTAAATTTATTCAAAGAAAAATTTCAATTCACTGACTATTTATTTTAGACATGATGTAAGCCGAATATCTATGACGGAAAAGTCAATAAACGCCGTTGCAATTTCAATAATGGTCCGCTGAAAAAATCTTTTCAGCTCGTTAGCATAAAAAACTGGTCTCTTTTTATCCCTTTATACTTTTTCATGTATATCAACGATTAAAAAGATGGTTGTATAGATAAAAAAAATTTCTAAAACAAAAGCTTTCAATTTATTTTTTTTCATAGACTATCTCCATCCTCAATCCGCTCCGATTGAACTCGAACAATGAAAACAATTTAATCTGCCGTAAATCACTGGAATACGCACGCATTGAAGCGTAAGATAGCAATAAGTCGATACCGGGACGTACTAAGTCACCCTTAGTTACGACTAAGATTCTAGGATCTTTTTGGGCCATAATTCGTGTGTGTGTCGTCCCACGTAATTATTATGCCTTATCATGGCTAATGATCTGAATTAACGACGTCCCCATAAAGTAAGGGACATAAAGTAGTTGACCCTGAACCGGATTAAGACGTAAGTGTTTAATAAAATAGCCTAATATATACCGGCCATTTGCTTAACACATTTGACTCTCACAAGTGATTGTGTAAATTAGCCATCTATCGGTTGGTTGGTTAAACCAACCCTAAACCCAACGCCGCAGGTTATTCACAGCTATTAGGAGCGCAATCAACCTTTACCTGGTCCATTGAGTCAAGTTGAATGACTTGCTGATGAGTGATGGAAGATTCTTGTTAAATTTGCATCAGCTGATGACAAAGTGCTGGAACTTGTAGTCTCGGGATAGAATATAGAAATATGCTTCACTTAGTCTGCTTCGGAATATCTTAGAGTGATTATGAAACTTTTGAAACTCGAGGGTCGAATTAAGGAAAATTAACTTGGCTTGAGAAATTTCTGTGGCTTCTGATTAACGTAAGTAACTTGTTTTAGAGAAAGGGAAGTATAGTGTGTTAGTTAAAATAATTTTTTTATGAACTATATATATTACAAAATTATTTCAATTTTAGTTAGTTAAGTAGACTAAGAGAAGAATATGGTTTTCTCAGCTTGGAAGATCTAGTTAAGCATCACTACTATTTAATTAAAGTTCTTATACCTAAAATTATTATTTATTATATTGAACCCCAATAGTTACTTAAACTATTTTTAGTTAAATATCGGCTCAAAAGTCATCTTGATTAACTTTAACTCAGAAAACAGAAAAATAATTTGGACAGCCCGGACCGGGAATTGAACCCGGCTCTTCTGGTTACGCACCAAAGGCTCGGGCAGTTAAGCTATCTGAGACATCGTCCGTAACAACCTTTCAGTCTAATAATTTTTTGTTTAACACGATAACAGAAAAATATTTATTAAGGAGATCCACGCAAAGTAGTAAAATTTTTAAAACTTCCTGAAAATATGTAAATTCAATCTACGTAGCCTAATAATTAATAAAAAAAAAAAATTAAAAAATAGTAGGTTTTCGAGATATTTTATCAAATAATTAGATATTATTTTAGGTAATATTTTTATACTTGTGACGTTATAATTCAGCGAACTATCTACATTTTTACTATTTATTTTATCTACACTGAAAAAAAAGTTTTTTTATACCCGGAATACTGAATATTTTTTAGTCGAGTTTTCTTGTAGTTAGTAAAAGTCAAGTTAAATATTTTAGATTTAAGAAAACTGGTATTTTAAATCTGAGAATACCAAGTTTTTTAACAGGACTAAAATTAAATTCTATGTTACCATAGCAACCGTGACGGTGGCGCCACTATTTTGTCATTTCCCTCCAATCTACAGTGTACGCGTGTTTTTTAGTTATTAGTTTACCTCGTGCCTGAGTCTACTTACCTAAATATTTATTTGTGTAAATTAAATAATTTATAAATTATAAATAAAAGTATTAATTATTAATATTACTTCCCCTTACTCCCCTACTTATATGGATTCTTGGATGCAAAAGAAGTTGTCAGAGTGGAATTTATCATCTCCAACAAATTTATAACTCATTTTAGCAATACATTCTTTCCTTATAATCAATTTTTATAATGAGGTAAAAGATCCAGTTATTTTCACTGGCCTATAGTTGTTTGACACTGGCAATTTTATTCTAATTAAAAAAATAAAATGTTCTCAAAAAACCAATTATCTTAAAATTTATAATTCAAATATAATGTTTATTAAATTATCAGAGTTGATTTATTTTTTTAATTAAAATAAAATTGCAAGTGTCAAAAACTAGGTCTTTTACCTTAGTAATGTTATTAGTAAATTAGTAAAATAATGCTATTAGCAAGAAATTGCAATTTTTTGACAACAATAAGAATTAAAAATAAGAAAAGAAAGGCTTAATATACTATTTTACATTTTTATTAATTTTAGTGTGATAGATTGTTTATAAATGAAGAATTATAAAAAGTATAATTTCTCATAATTATCTATCCTAAAGATTCGTGTCGACCAAGCGAGGTTAAGTCGGCCATATTGATTGTAGTATTTTAATAATGAGAATACAAAGTTTTTTTATATCCAGTAAACTTATTCATATGGATAGTAAACTTTGGTATTCTTATTTTAGGAATACTTTTTTTTTAACCACAGGGAAAAGTTTTCTAGGAGGAAAAAAACTTTTTTTTCAGTGTAAATTAAAAAAATATTAAATTTGTCGATAATAATTGAGTTGTCAAAATTGGTACTAATTTAAACCGCTATCAAACTCGATATCAATGTTTGAAAAAATAATAATAAGTAGATATAAGAACGCGGTTTTTATTCAAACCGTCAATCCACCCAGGTGGATTCAAAGCGAGTGATATCGGAAAAATGTACGTTCCGAATTGTTATTCATGTAATCAAGATGCGAATATAAATTGCTTGGTTGAATTGTGTGGGGTGTGGATAGAAGCGAGAAGACTCCAAAAAAGTCAATTTCACTGTTTGTGTATAGTTATATACTTTCTAACCTTCGCTACTGTTCATCCGTCTATACACACGGTTTTATTGAATTTTTTCAATGCGGAAAAATAAAACAATTCCTTTATTCCTATATAAACTTGTCGTGAATTTGATGAAACTATTAATTTCATGCCAATGGATATTCAATTTTCTTTTTTTATCCACTCGTAAATTTTGAATAAAATTTTTTTATGAAATATTGAAGAAGAAAACTTTTATTTGAATATTAACTTTTATCATTTTTCATTTATTTATTTTCTTTTTTTTATGAAAACACTCATTGAATTAAGTTGCGGGTTTAGGCGATAAAACTTCGAAAATAAATATTTATTAAGGGCTGTAAATATATACTTTCAGTAATAATAATTTTTAGTATCGAACATAATATCATTTTATTCAATATAAACTTACTTCTGTTTTACATAAAAATTTTTATTTTTAGTTGATACCTAATAGAATAAATGATTTTTATTGAGGTAAGTTATAAAATTTCTTTAATAAAAGTTTAACTAATGTAAAAATTATTTTTTTTCTATTAAAATAATGATAATAACAATTTTACTTATAAGAACTAGTAACTTTGCAGTCACTACGTGACTGCCGTAGTGAACTATAAATAAATACAATTTTGATTTATTGAATAATGAATTTTGTTAAATCGCACTGTACTTTCTTAAATATTGATGTTTTTAAAGATATAAGCTCATCCCGACATTACACTCATCGAGACCTTTCATTTGAGTACCCACATCAATTTTTCATATATTTTATATATTTATATATATATTATATATATGTATATATGAAAAATATATCAAAAATGCATGTGGGTACTCAAATGAAAGGTCTCGATAAGTGTAACATCGGAATGAGCTTATATCTTTAAAAATGTCAATAGTTCACAAGATCTAAGGTCATTTATTCATTATGGATCTTGGAAACAAAATTTTTCTTATTCTCTTAATAATATAGATAAATGAAATTTCAAAAATTATTATTATTTGATGGTTTAAGTTTTTAATATGATAATAATAATTTTTACCAAAATAAAATGTATTTTTCTTCACAAGAAAAGCTACCATAAATTTCCTGGAGATAAACGTCACATCAAATTTAAAGCACAGTACTTGTAACAACGGATGTTAAAGAACAAACATATTGGTATATACAAAAGCGACATATATTGCATGCAAACGGGAAAGTTTTGGTAGTGGTTGTCGTGTCGCTTTAGCGATGTGTATCAACGACATGCAGACGTCTGGCAACATTAAATCGACGTACAATGTAATGTAAAATCTACGACTTACAACTTGGTACACTCTCTATAAAATGTCTATAGTAAACTCTCAGCTTTAAATAATAGCGGATGTCCCACCACCAATTTGCAATGCACTACAAACTGGACATTCTCCAAATAGCAGCTATATTGGCCTCTTATCCTTTTTCTTCCCCTTTTTCAGCACTTCTCATCCTCCGTATATATATAAAATTCGTCGTCTAACATACTCGAAAGCTTTCTTCGTGAAATATATATGCTCTTACGATCCTCTTGAGCGTCTTCTGTATGAAATCTCAAAGCTTGAGATCTTATCCCAAGCAGGTAGAAACTCTTATCTCATCTTATCTACAATTTTTCTTGATCCTTATCTCTGGTGGAAACTTTGATAAAAATATCATTTTTTTGTTCAAGTAGACCTGGATCTCAACAAGTTTTAAATATTCATAACAATGTTCGGGTATCTTCGTAAATACCTTGGAGGAGTAGTAAAGCAATAATCAGCTTCGTAAAAAATATGAAAAAATATACTAGCATACTGGCAGTCACTACGTGACTGCCGTAGTGAACTATAAATAAATAGAATTTTGCGTTATTAAATAATGAATTTTGTTAAATTGCACTGTACTTTCTTTAATATTGACCTTTTTGAAGATATAAGCTCATCCCGATGTTACACTCATCAAGAACTTTCATTTGAGTACTCACATGTATTTTTATATATTTTTCATATATACATATACTAGCTGTTACCCGCCCGCTTCGCTGGGCATTTTATGGAATTGTATTTTTAAATCTAAACTTGAAATTTAATTTGAGTATTGTTTTGACTTGCACAGATTTCAAATTCCATCAAATTCGTCTGTACCTTTTATTCATGTGATTATTTTAACTTATATTCATTGTAACTTTCAATGTGCGAACACTATAACATTCCCGCGGGTTTCTTCCAAAACATCAATAATAATTAACACGAAGAAAAAATTTGAAACGTACATGAAAGTTTTTGTCAAAGTAATTGCAGGTCTTATTAGTAAAGTTGAAATCTGCCTAGCTTAAAGTGAAAAGAATTATGCTGTTAATCAAAATTTCCTCCCTGACATCAATTTTTCATAGAAAATTAATTGTATATATTTTACGAATTCTATTAAAATAAGTAGCCAAATTTATTTTTTACAGCTCAAGTGTTTAGAAAATGCATTTATTTTAATCTGTTAGATTTCGGCGATCCCGTAATAAGAACAATTTATCGGTTGTGTGATCAGCAAAAATAAAATGTATGTAAAATTTTTAGTCCGTTGAGTAAATAGCTACATGGAAAGTTAATTTTTGGAAACCTTGCAATGACTTTTTCTCCGCTGCCAAAGAGACGATTGTTGTAAGAAAATAAAATTATTGAGAAAGAAAAATATTTAAATCGATTGACCTTGGAGGCCATCCCTGTAATTTCCTGTTTCTCTTGAGATTCTATCTAATTTTATATCTGTAGGAACAATATTAATAGTCTTGCACTCCTATGTGGGGGAAGAATTTCGTAAGATCCTATTCAAGATGATTTATTCATTATAAACAAAAGATTCCAACAAAAGTTCGAGTCCATAGGAACTGTTG